ATATAAAAAGTTAGAAAAAATTTTTTATTCAATTATGACGATCATCACCAAATTCGGGTTTGTCCACCATGCTGCCAATACCCATGTATCCGTCAAATCATGCCAGATAACAAGAAAATATCATGCCAGAAACTGATAAATTTACTTGTATAGGTAAACTAATAAATATTTATTATTATCAAGCAATTTGAATTTATTTTCTAATAATATCGTATATATTGTTTTTTTTTTATTTTTTGTGTGAACATAAAATCAGATTGAGAACAGTGCACTGTTCTCATGAGAACAGTATTTGGATCTGAAATTTTGCATAAGCCAATTCCTCATGTCATTACGCCATAATAATGTCACGACGCTATCTGATAATCTGATAATCCTTATGTATATAACTATATATATATATACTATCTGGTTAGAATCTAAAATATTACATCATGTGCATATAAACAATCTCACGATCGAAGTAAAAATGGTTGAACATTCAAATTCTAACGTTAATACTAACGGCTTTTTCTCAACTCGTTTTATTATAATTTTTTTATTTTTTACGTGTGTCACCTCAATTATCCTATTTAATTCAGAACTTTGCCACGATTATCTTGTTCAAATTCCCGATTCTTTTTTTCTTGCAAAATATTTGAAAATGTCTACCCAAGAAACTCCAACTACGCCTATTAAAGACTTGGAGGATATTACCCTTACAGACCTTAAAGATAACTCCACGTTCAAGGCTAGTACTCTTTGGCAAGATAGCCCTGCTCTGGTTCTAGTGAGTAGGTATTATTAATACTTGTCATTATTAATTATTAATTTATTATTGTTATTTTTCTTTTTGATTTAAACATATGATGTCTATTTCGTTTCTGTTTTGAAGTTCGACGCCCTGGGTGTCAGTTATGTCGCGAGGAAGCTATAAAAGTTGCCTCATATCGAGACCTTATATCAGATAAACTTGTAAAAAGTCTTACTTTCCCACACTCTCGCACTTTCATTTTACAGACAAATTCTTATATATAGCATTCATTTTATTAGGGAGTTAAAATGGTTGCAATTGTGCATGAGAACCTAGATAATGAAATTGAAGAGTTTAATAAAGGATATTGGAATGGCCTCCTATATTTTGATAAAGAGAAATCGTTCTTCTCTCATATTGGGTAAGGAAATTATCGTAGATTATTTTTATCGTTATGATTATTATTTCCATGTTGACCCTCCTTTTTTTTTTTTTTAAGAGGCGGTCAAATACAATATGGAGGAATTATGAGTTTTTTAAAACCTTCTGTATGGTTTAATATAAGACAAAGCATGAAAACTGTAAATTTTATTTTTTTTTCGCATCCATAATTCACCATTTCACAAATCTAAATCTTAACATTTAAAATCATGTGCTAGGGTGTTACCGGAAATTTTAAAGGGGATGGTTATGTTTTAGGTGGTTTATATATTATTCGTCAAGGTTCGGGAGGTGTAGAATATCAATACCGAGAAAAGGTCTGGGGAGATCATGCTCCTTTCGACCAAGTCTTAACTGCCGTGAAAAATGTTTCTGCAAAGAAAGATGAACCTGATGTTAAGGCTGCTTTTCAGGAAACTTTGGATAAAGTAAAGAAAGGTGAAATAGTGTTTGATAGTGTTCTTAAAGATAATTCTGGAGCCAGTTGTACGGTTAAAGGACCATGTGCTTAATTATCAAATGATACTTGTTTATTATTGCATATAAATAGTTCTTTGTTTTTGTGCTTATCATCAAAGTTATATAATTAAAAAAAAAAAAAAAGAATTATACATTACTTTTTTATTAATTAAAAAGTTCAAAAGTGGTTTCAATGCAAAAAAGCACCTTATAGAGTAATGATATAAAAATACATTTAAGTTTGCGAGATCCTTATATTGATTGTGATAGCTAAAGTTAAAATGGCTGACATTAAATCTTGACATATTTATTATAAAAATTAAGTTTTTGGAGTCTTGTTTTAGGATTACAGGACTAGGTTAGTTGTGTAAATTTTAGTAAGCGTTATACTTTTAGATTTAAAAGAAAACTAAATTTTAGCATCAGCATAAGCTGCTATATTAATTTCTAAATCAAATACGCTTTTTCACTAAAATGAAATTCGATTTACTGTCGTATCGAAGATTTGTATATTGATACTATATATATCATGTTATATACTGTGATATACTGGATATGGGGTTGAGTCAATAAAACCAAGCAAATATTTTTTAATAAGCTTTTTTAAAACTTTAAACAAGAATAACTTAACAAAAACTTAATAAAATTTTTTTAAATTAATTCTACAAGTTTGTAAAAATTATTTAAAAAAATTTTTATTAAATTGGTCAAGGTTTTGTTAAGTTATTTTTGTTTAAAGTTATAAAAAATTTTTATTATAAAAAATTTGCTTGATTTTTATTGATTCACCCCATGTTTTTAATATATGGGGTGGAGTCAATAGAAATGGGACAAATTTATTAGATAAATTTGTCCTATTTATATTGACTTCACCCCATATACTGTATTACAAAGTTTATTTAGCAGGTAAATTTGGTTGCTAAAATATTAAATTTTTTGTGTCTAATTTAGTTATATTAAAAAATTAAAATATTTTAAAAAAATTTTATCCTATATACAATTATACCTTGATATACATAATTACCAGGTTGAAAACAAATTTTGGTAGTTATAAAAGTTGTAACTATATGAAGATCAAAATTTATGTTTTATAAGAGTTTACTAAAAAACAAATTTCAAAAGGATCTAATACCAACAAAGTTAGCTAGTATTAGTTATAATACTGGCCAATTAGTTAGGATTTTGTGATAGAACTGTCTAGATCAAAAAATAATATGATTATAACAAGTTTGTAACTATATCAAGAGTAATTATAATGAGAATTAACTATATATATTGTATAATATAGTAAAATCTTATAGTAGTCACAGTCTTTTTATAAATACCAATACTATATTAATCATGATTTGTTATTAGAGTTGGGCATAGTAAATTTTTGGAGCATGCCCTTTATACCCAGGGCATGTCTTCTATAAATACAGTCATCTCTCTCTGCAATCACCTCCTATATAATTACAAATTCTATACAATTATACAAATATATTTATTTGTTCAACTTATTTTAAAAATATCTCTATATAATTACAATCGCATTACAATCACTATTATATTTTTTTAAAAATTTTTATATTAATTTATTAAATAAATTACCTTTTTAAAATCACAATTAAACAGCCATTCTTAAGTATTTAAATAAATTAATCAGATAGTAATTATTATAACACTCAAGTATTATAATTGATAATGCTATTTATAATATTATAGCAAAGAGTTACAACACAAACCAACCAATTATCATCTAAAACACACAACTAAAGCAACCAACTTACATAGTATACTCGATATATAGAGCCGATTACAATTTGGTAAGATAAAGCATATTAGATATATAGGACCAAGAGCAACTTTTATTAAGTAAATACTCTTTTTTTTTTATTAGAGGGCAAAACAAGTCTATATTTATAATAAATTTGTATATATGAGGGAAAACAAGATTAAACTTTTTTAATCTAAACCCAAGCCCATCTCATAATACCATCATTAGCTTTGCCTCCTTAGCTAAGCTTTTGGCACTGTTTCAAACATAATACCTTGGGTCTTGGGGCTTTGTAAAAACTTTTTTCTCACGATTTCTTTGCAGTTCTGTGGAAGCTTCAAATTAAGGCTTTAACACATTTTCAGGTTCCATGATGTCAAATTTGGTGCAGCAAATTTTTTTGTTTTTGCCACTAATAATAGAATTAAATATTTGTAATATTTACTATACCACCTAAAAAACTAATAAAAAAAATTTCTTTTTGATTATTTATTAAAGTTTCAACTTAATGATTTTAACAATTTAAACTTATTTGTTTTAAAAGCTTTAAATATTAAAAAAAAAATGGCTATCTTTTTAGGCTAGTTGGAAATCTATTGAGAATTAATTGTTATATATAAAAAATATAAAGATAATACTTAAATAATCTTTATCAATGATAAAGTTTCAGAAAAAAAAAGTAATTTGATTTGTTTATCAAAATAGTAACTTACTTGGTTAATTAAAAATTTACTTCTAACCTAGTTGCTTGAAAATACCCTAAATTATATAATTACAATTTATTGGCTATAAGTAGCTATAAGTATTGCAAATTAGTTCAAAATCAATTAGTTTTGGATTATGGATTGATGCATTATTTAATGTCATTTGTGGAATAGCTGTTATATTAATACGATTTAACAGCAAGATCATTATATGAGCCACAGTTGACATTGAACAAGTATTAGGCATCTGTTTAGTATAAATATTATAGTAATCATCAATATTCAATGCTAATGCATTATACTTATTATTTTCTAGATATAATTCTATTAGAGATGAATAGTTATTGGCAATTTCTGTCTTTTTTCTATCTATATGTCTTCGCGAAATCATTATACTGGCATGTAAAAGAGTATCTAAAGCTTTAGCAAAAAGCTCTATTAGATCTAAAAAAAGAGAAATATCTTTTTTGAATACTGTTAGTTTAAAATTCTGATTACCACAAATTATATAGTACTGTATTGCTAATCTCTTATCAAGTTTATCCAAATATTTATCACTTTTTTTATTTGGAAGAGTTGTATTATAAATCAAATTAAAGAAACTACTTAGTCTTATATCTTTAGCCACTATCTCTTTATGCAATTGTTTGAAACTATAAATAGCTGGCTTTTGTTCAATCTTTTTATAATCATAGAAAAATTTGGACAAGACATTAACTTTATTGACTCATGAAAAATAATCGACACCCATTTTTGATTCATATAAATTCCAAAGCAGTATGACTTTACTCTGATTTCAACATATCAAGTAACATTGATATGCCAATGAACACTTGAGTTCTCTTTTTTTAGCTTCAGTTTTTTTATCTAAGCATGCCATTTCTTCAATTTGGTCAAAAAAAAAAACTCAAATCATTATTCTTATTTATGGCAATCGACCTAAGGTAGAAAAATGAAAAAACAAGTAGTTCTCTATCTAATACTTCTCTCTCAAAAATAAAATTAGTTAGTAATAAAATACTTTTACTTATAGAAAAACTATTTCGACATCTTTTTAACACATTATCCCAATTCAAAGCATGTTCTTTAAAAGAACTTGCTGCATTTACTATGATCACATTATAACAACCTATACAAATATACTCATCCTTATGATCTCTATAGTACGAAGCCAGAGTTCTGTTTGCTTCTGCCTTGATCAGCACATTA